ACACACACATGCTCACACACACACCCATGCTCACACACACACACATGCTCACACACACACACATGCCTCACACACACAACCAGCTCTCACACAAGCACAGCACATGCTCTCACAACACCACACCATGCTCTCACAAACCAAACCAACACACATGCTCTCACAAACACACAACACATGCTCTCACACACACACACATGCTCTCACAAAACACACAACACATGCTCTCACACAACACACATGGCTCTCACACCACACGACACATGCTCCACACACTCACACATGCTCTCACACACACCACAACATGCTCCTCAAACACACACACAGATGCTTCTCACACACACACACATGCTCTCGACACACACAACATGCTCTCACACACAACACAGCTCCTCAACACACACACATGCTCTCACACACACACACATGCTCACACACACACACATGCTCTGCACACCACACACATCTCTCACACCACACACACATGCTCTCAACACACACACACATGCTCTCCACCACACAACACATGCTCTCACACCACACACATGCTCTCACAACACACACACATGCCTGCAATCACAACACCACACATGCTCTCACACAACACATTCATGCTCTCACACACAGCACACATGCTCTCACAGCACGACACACATGCTCTCACACACACACACATGCTCTCACACACACAACATGCTCTCAACACACACCACATTGCTCTCACTAGCACACACAACATGCTCTCACCACACACAAACACATGCTCTCACATACATCACATCATGTCTCTCTACATACACAACACATGCTCTCACATCACATTCACACATGTCTCTCTACATCACTACACAACATGTATCTCACACACACACACATGCTCTCACACACACACAGATGCTCCACACACCACACATGGCTCTCACACCCACACACAAGCTCTCAACACACACACACATGCTCTCGACACACACAACACTGCTCTCACACACACACACATGCTCTACACACACACATGCACACACACACACATGCTCTCACACACACACATGCTTCACACACACACACATGCTCTCACACACACACACATGCTCTCACACACACACACATGCTCTCACACACACACACATGCTCTCACACACACACACATGCTCTCACACACACACACATGCTCTCACACACACACACATGCTCTTCACACACACACACAAGCTCTCACACACACACACACATGCTCTCACACACACACACATGTCTCACACACACACACATGCTCTCACACACACACACATGCTCTCACACAACACACACATGCTCTCACACACACACTGCTCTCACACACACACATGCTCTCACACACACACACATGCCTCTCACACACACACACATGCTCTCACACACCACACACATGCTCTCACACACACACACATGCTCTCACACACACACACACATGCTCTCACACACACACACATGCTCTCACACACACACACATGCTCTCACACACACACACATGCCTCTCACACACACACACATGCTCTCACACACACACACATGCTCTCACACCACACACATGCTCTCACACACACACACATGCTCTCACACACACACACATGCTCTCCACACACACACATGCTCTCACACACACACACATGCTCTCACACACACACACATGCTCTCACACACACACACACTCTCACACACAACACACATGCTCTCACACACACCACATGCTCTCACACACACACAACATGCTCTCACACACACACACACATGCTCTCACACACACACATGCTCTCACACACACACACAACACACATGCTCTCACACACACACACATGCTCTCACACACACACACATGCTCTCACACACACACACAGCTGCACACACATGCTCTCACACACACACACATGCTCTCACACACACACACATGCTCTCACACACACACACATGCTCTCACACACACACACATGCTCTCACACACACACACAACACAACACACATGCTCTGCACACACACAACTGCACACACACACACATGCTCACACACACATGCTCTCACACACACACACATGCTCTCACACACACACACATCTCTCACACACACACACATGCTCTCACACACACACATGCTCTCACACACACACACACATGCTCACACACACACACATGCTCTCACACACACACATGCTCTCACACACACACACATGCTCTCACACACACACACACATGCTCTCACACACACACACATGCTCTCACCACACACACATGCTCTCACACACACACACATGCTCTCACACACACACACACATGCTCTCACACACACACACCATGCTCTCACACCACACACATGCTTCACACACACACAACAGCTCTCACACACACACACATGCTCTCACACACACACACATGCTCTCACACACACACACATGCTCTCACACACACACATGCTCTCACACACACACACATGCTCTCACGCACACTCTCACACACATGCTCTCACACACACA